GAAGAAGAATGATGAATTGGGATTGTTAAGGCCGGGGGTTGCGCTTGCGCTAGGGTCTGAAATTGAATGAAAGGAAAAGCTGTGAGATCGGAGGCGGAGGAGAGGGCGGGCGGGGAGAACGTGGACGCCCGGAGTTGGGCCACGAGACAAGAAATTCAGCGGCTGGTTTTGCTCGGAAATGTGCTTATGGTGGGTTGGACGCTTTCAATATTCTGCTAAATTGGGCTTTGGCCCACATATTTGGACCACATTTGTTGGGCTTTTTGCCCCTTTTTTCACACGATCCTAGCTGCCTTTTTTTTTCCTGCAAAGAAAATTTTAATCCTTAAATTTAAAGATAAAATACTACTTGGTACCGTGCTTCTTTAATTGATTTTGGTTCATGTAGTTTTAAAATATTCATTTTAGTTCCGGTACTTTCAACTTTTGTTTATTTAGGTTCTTGTATGTTCAATATTGGTTCAATTTACTTCGTGTACTTTAAAATTTTCTATAGTTGTGATAAATCTAGATTACTCTTATTTTTTTATTCTTACTTTTTTGATAAATCTGGATCACTTTTAATTTTTTATTCTTACTTTTTTTCATCCAACGACTATGTTTCAATAAGAAAGGTTTCAATATTTGTATGAACTATTATCATGATTTTATATTAAAAAGTTTTTATTTTAGGTATAATTTATGCTAAATTTTGTAAATAGGGACTAAAATGGTCTTTTCTTTTTTTTAAGTACAGGGACCCACATGGACTAAAATGAAAAAATTTGAAGTTTATGAGCCAAAATTAATATTTTAAAAATACAACAACTAAATTGAATCAAAATTAAATATACATGACCAAAATAGTATTTTAACCTAAATTTAAATAAATTTAAATAGTAACATCGTGTTAGAGCAATCAATTATTACTATATTTCAATTACTCTAACACCATAAATTTTTCTTCCCTGTACAATACTTCCTTGAAATGTGTCAACATACGATTCTTACCCCTACTTATTAAGTTTGGAAGTGTCATTATTCTCTTAGTCGATCTTTCATTATATAGCGTTTCATAGTGTATATTGTAGAGTTTGAGAGATGATTCCAATACATTTGCGAGATTCCAATATATTTTGATATCGTTCGAATGTCAAATGAAAAACTTATGTCCAAAATAAAATTAAAATGCAAAATCCTTATGGTGAAGCATGTTTGGTGTTTCTTCTCTTCCTCCATTGTTCTTGTGGGCATGTGTCTCCTCTCCTTCTACGAGAAAATGAAGATTGTCTCTATAGACACGCAACAATCTTTAGTATACTTTGTCTTCACTCACATGCTTTCTAAGAAATTTATCCTCTTGGTTCTATTTAATCCATTTTCATGTCACATCCACTTTTAAGTTTATTGTATATTTTTTGTTATGGCCAACCGGTCTCTCATATATTTTTTTCAAGAAGTATTAAAGAAGGCATTAAAGTTCAAGGATGCCTGCTGTCATGGGCCGAAACACAGAATCCAGCTCCAAAGCCGCTGCTAATTGGGGCTCTAAAATGGCAGAAATTGTCCACGACCCATCGCCCTTAGCACTGGGCCTCTGATTCAAGTAACTAACTCCTATTCTCTCTACAGTCGAGCCCACCGTCCCCAGAACTGGGCCTCCAAATCCAAAGTCCAATTCAGCAACTGGAAACCTCCGGCCCGACGACACAACCAGGGCCGGCCCACCAAGGCCCAATACATTCCTCGACAACATAAGCCCAGGCCTGTGACACTCGATCCAATCAATCAGGTCCAAGAAATGGGCTTCGTTCGTCGCCTTCGAAATCGCCTCGTGGACGACACTCGCAATCTCCGGTAGCGAATTACGCTTCAATTCCTCGACGCTCGCTTCTCCAAACGCGACCGACAAGACGTTTCCAATGTAATCCGACATGTAGTTTCGATCTCCCCCCAATCTGCTCCGCCCGTCCACTAACCACCCCATTTTGCATGTCGAATGCTCTGCTTCCATGGCGGAAACCATAATTCTCCAAACGTACGCAGAGAACGCTTCGATTTTCGTCCTCCTGACTCCGCCGGAGCTCGCCAGGCTCTGTAATCGATCAATGCTCGTCCGATCGACGTGATACAGCCTCTTGATTAGCTTCTTCAGTGTCGGAATGTTCATTATATCTTCCATGGTGCATTTCACCATCGTCTTGTCGAGATTCGGATGGTAAATCGGCGGCGAACGAGGAAGGATGTTTCTACGGTGGTCTGGTATGGTGGAGATCGGTTTTCCCCGAGCGATTTCCGACCAGGCGAGAAGGAATTTTCCAAATGCACTGGCGTCACCGAGCGCATGATCGAACGTGAACGTGATTGAAATTCCGCCGCAAGCGTAGCTCGTGATTTGAATCTGTAAAGCGAAATCTGGATTTACAGTGACGAGCTTGCCTTTCAGAGGATCGTCGAGGTCGTGAAAATTCAAGGCGTTCAATCGGAGATTAGCCTCTGCTTCTACAAACAGAGCACCGGAGTCATCGCAGATAATTTCGGGCTCGTTTGTGATGGAATTTGGGAGAATTTTACCGGCGAATGGATTGTAGTGATTTAGGGTTTCTGCGAGGGAGGTTTTGAGAGCCTCGAGGATGACGGCGGAGGCGTCCGTCGTCGGGCGGCGGTAGAAGTAGAAATATGTGATCGGAAAACGGCCGGAGAGGAGATCGAGATTTGAGAGATGCAAAATGCGCGGCTCCAGCGAGGGATTGGTGGGTTTGACGATTGATTTGTTGGTGAATTTGACTTGGAGTTTGGTGTGAAGTGGAGCATCGTTGTGATCTTCCATTGGAGGTTGAAGATGAATAGCAAATCTGGGAAGGGAAGATTTGGAGAGATGGGTATTTAAAGAAGGTTGTGCCGAATTAAATTTACCCCAATTGACTTAAGTTTTTGGGTGGAGGTTAATAAAAAGCTGCTATTTCATAGATTAATAATTATGGTAACTCTTACTTTTAGTTGGAAGGAGAGTTGACTCACCCACTAGTTGGTCGTTCGTGGCAATTTTTTGTTTGCCTTTCTACATAAAATGGTAGAATCCAATTACAAATGGCAAATTCCAAGTTCCAAATGGTTCTACTTTTATCAACGGTTAAAAACGCATCTATTTTTTATGTGAATTTGAATCTCTATCACAAATGTTGTATTAGAAAAACTCTCCGACTGTTTTTTTTAATTTACTAACAACTTGTTTCGTTTTAAATTTCTAAAAAGAGTTGTTTTGATCCATTTTTGCTTTTCAATCTCTTTTTTTTTTATCACAATTTCAACACAAATATCATTTTCAATAAATTTCTTGAAGTAGGGTTGTTGATGCTATATTCCACCAAACACTGCARGTCGGTCACATGCTAATCGGAATGAGCTGTCAATGTGTGACCTTCGAAATAGTAGGACCTACACAAAGAACAAAACTTCGACATCCAAGTTAGTGTGAGCACAAGTTGTAGCAAGTCATTCTCGGAGCAGAATATTATACATGAAATATTGGGGTGGAGTGTCTTTTTTATAAGCAAGTGGAGGACAAAGTCGTTGGACCCGTTCCGATCGATGGTTACGGCTGTCAGACCCTCAAGTCGGTTGTCGGACTTGAGGTCGAATTCCTTAGGTTGGTGGAGCTCATCCTCCTCAACTCGGTAGTCGATTAGGTGACATAGTTTTTTTTCCTTCTGGTAATCCCGAACAAAGCAGGAGTGTCTATGTGTCAATACTTAATTTTACCTCCAACAATCATCGTAACTTCGTATTAAATAGTTTTTATTGGATATAAAATTTTTGTTAGAATTCTAATAAAGACTAAAACAAACGCATTTTAAAACCACGCATTGGACACCAAAATAAATGTTTCTGAGGTGATCTAGGAAAAAACAGAAAAAAGTTTTAAAAAGTAAAATGACCAAAAGTGATAAAATCTTAAAGTATTTCCTTCAACTAGCTTTAAGTTTATTTATTTATTTGTCCAAAAAAAAGTTTATTTATTTATTTAAATTATATTTTAATTTCTAAACTTTTATGTTTACTCGGTTGAGAATTGAATTTCTAAATATTACAATTTATCACGAACTTTACACAATAATAATAATAATAAAATACCATGAACTTTCTCTACATGACTCAATAGATAGAATCCTAACTTGATTGTTATTTATTTGACTGAGTAAATATGGTAGGAGCATATTACATTGTGAAGGAATAAAGTGATGACTCAAAATAAGGTGGAAATACACAAATATTTAAGCACACGGGTCAAATCAAGATTGAGTGCTTTAGAGTCGTCTTGATTTGACTAAAAGTGTTTGAATATCTTTGATCCATATAAAAAATATACGACTGTGAGTAATATAAACAAAAACTAACAATCTTATTTTGTAATCATGTCAACTCAAATAAATTACATTTTATTCTTCTAAAATATATCTCAATCAACTTATTTAAAAAGATAGAATAATTTAATCTTAGATCTGGAACTTCACGATGAAAATTTAATCCCAAAATCAGCCATCTCTATAAACAAAAAGTACATTTTTGTATGATCAAATAGAAGGTTTACGATGGAAAAAAACCTGTATTTTCTAATCAAACTTGGGCATGTTTCATTCTCTTGAAAGCTATAATTCAAATTGGGAATTTGCCCTTTTTTTCCACCATTGCACGCGCAATTGAAAGGTTGGAAATTTTCTTGAGGGAAGATGATTATTAGAAGTTGTGGATGAAGATCCTTTTATCTTTGTGTTCCCTTTTTGGTGGTCAAAATTTTGTGTCATGGCAAAATTGAAACAAGAGATAGGGTTTGGATGGTCATGATCTTTTTTTATCACTAGTGCAAATCCTTGTTGATGTGAAGCATATATTTAGAATATGGTTCAATATTTTCAATCTTGTCGGAGAGTTAACAACTACAACGAAATTAGGTTTTGTTGTCCACAATCCATTTGTGTTTAATTGTGTTGCGTTATTATGAACTCTAAGACTATTGTAGTGTGATCAAATCACTCTAATTTAGTTTGGTTCAATTGTGTAAGAGAGAAAATTTGTAAATGATTGAACTGTTAAATGAATTGGAGTATAGTATTATTAGTCTGCATTGGAAAGTAGAATATATATCAGAAGATCTTGACTCGAAACATAGGTTACATACAGTGATTAGGAAAGACTTCTTGCTTATAAAGAGAAAAGAAAGAGAACTTGAATTTTGGTATTAAAAAAAGACATATTTTACATAATATGAGATTCTCATGTAAAAAAATACAACGATGAAATGAATAATAAACCAAATGACTTTATCTTCTTACGAAAGTTGCAATATATAGTTTCCACTACTTGTATTTTAATCTTGAACATAGTTTAATTGGTTAATTAAGACGTATACACTCAATAAAAAAAAATTGAAAGTTCAAATCCGCATCCCTACTGTCTTGAACCTAAAATAAAAAATAAAATAAAATAACTTGAAATTATTCTAATTGACTTTTGTGGTTCAATCCATAGGCTCCAGTAATAACTATGGTAAGCCGATTAAAATGATATATTTTTGAAAATTCAACTAAAAATGTGGAACTAGCCCTTACGTGAGTTGGGTTCATTTCAATATTGAAGGTCCAGTTCGGTTCATTCGGTCCAGCCCATTTCAATCTTTTTGGGCCCATAATGGGCTTTTTCCATACGCTTGCGGTAGCACGATGCAATTGCAAGCCTTTTTTTCGTTTTTTTTCCCTTTAGAATGATGCAAGCCAATATTCTAACACAGAAATGAGAGTAAAAATAAAAATATATGTAATATGTGCTATAAAATTAATTTAAAACATTGCATTTATTAAGAAGTGATTGCAAAAGTACTTTTTTTTTTTAATAAAAATGGTATATTTTGTATAAATTTTTTATAGTTCAACAATTTTAGAGTGGAGGATCGAACCATCCATCTTTGAAATAGTAATTTGTGATTTATCTATTTAAACTATCTTCGAATTAATTATATAAATCTATTATCAATCACTTGACAATTACAATCGGCTACTTTGTGACTTTTCATTCATTTACATTAATAATAATTGAGAATAATTTCTGTCAAAATAATAATAATAATTGAGCTTAATAATTACAAAAATCAAAGCAATTATTTTTGTAGATTGTTGTTTTTGTGAAACTTGTAGACAAAAATTTTGCAACAAAATTATAGATATCAAAGATATATATAAATATTTGGACTTCACACAAGTTTCTTTTAATCACACATACAATTATTTTTTGCAAAATTTCTAGATAAAAATTAAGATCATTATAGAAACAAATAATTGAGTTTTTTTTTTCTTTCTTTTTTTTTAACTACTCTAGTGATATTTATAGATGACTGTTGAAATGTGGTTTAAGCAAATCTAAAAGGAAAAAAAAAAAGTTGAAAAGGACTTGAAGAAATTATGGATAGTGATTTATGAAGTTTTGAACGATTGACAGGAACTTCAAATTATTGTTATATTATTCAAATTTCAAAGGAGAGATTTCTCATCCACCAAAATTGAGATAAGGATTATCTTAAAATTTTTCAGCCACTTTATGTTGCAATTGATAAGCATTGGACCATCCATTATTATAAAATATATGTACATGTAATTATGTGAGGGGATATGTGTCATTTTTTTGGTTTTGATTGATTTCAATTGCCCAGAAAAAAAAACATTTTCCTTCTGTTCATGGATCTTTGCATTTATGCTAAAGAAACGAAACTAAAACAGTATCAATAATTTCATAAACTTTTAGAGTTTGATATATTTATCAAACACATGTTTCTTTAAAATGAAAGTAGAAAAGCGAATGGTTTGTCAAGTAACGTTTTCGTTTATTATTAATTAGGAATAAATAAAAAATAACATCATGTAATATTTCTTTTTTCTCATTTATCATCTACCTCTAATTTCTCGTCGGGATTGAATATGCAATTTTGATGCCATGTTGGGAATTCATTTTTATTTCTTTAAATAATATTAGGAGCTAAATAAGTGGTGACTTTTTCTATATCAAGGGATGTGTCAGGGCCAAAAGTAAAGATGACCGAATGGAATGGCGTAAATTTTTTATAATTATACTATTCAAAAGAATCAACACAATATCAAGGGATGTTGACAAAAATATACAATTCATGTATTTCATTTGCGATATCCATCAGATTTTAAAATTCTCAATTTTCTTTCAAACGAGCATTTTTGTAACAATTAGATTGGTGGGAAATACTCGATTTTAATTCAATAATTAATAATTTTTAGCTATATTATTTTGCATGTGTAATAGGCTTTTTCTAGTGAACTTTGGTGGTGTATCATGCATCGAGATTTCTGGAGGTTAAATAATAATTATTGTGATACTGGAAAATTTTCTTTTTTTTATCAAACTTTACCCACAAATTAGAGAGAATTAATTATTGTCTTAAATTTTTGCATGCAAAAATGCAGCTTGCCTGGGGCCTTCACCACCACATTTTGTTAGTCTTTCCGGTCTGGTCATTGCCCTTATAAAAGGCGATGGCAAATAAATATTCTGGTCATTGCCATTTTTAATTATTTTTAAAAATATTGTTTTTAAGATTGATGCATGATTTGTAAACAATTATATCTTATTGTTCTTCTTGTGAACAATTTTTGAATCATTTGTTGTTAAAGAAAAAGGAAAGGTAAATTGTTAGAAGGCGATTTAAGCGTTTCATACATGATATGTCTATCAGCGGCTCTGTTGACGGCCCCTAATGAGAACAACCGCCCTTGGTTCTCTGCCCTTAACCGACAAAAGTTCTTCCTCGTC